CTGAAAACACCTCTGGTCACGAAGCCCTGGCGGCTCCTCCTGGGCCGCCCCCCAGGGGCACTTGCCCCCCAGGCCGGGTCGTTCCCAGGCTGTGGGGGTCCTGGGGGGAAGGTCTGCGGGGAGGAAATGGACAGAAACAGCACATCCCCGGGGGCCGCAGACAGGAAGACGAGCAGGAAGTCAAACTGAACACCGGACAAAGCGACAGAGGGGTCAGCTCTGCAGGAAGGTGTGACCACACACGGGTGTCACCCCACAGAGACAAGCCGGTGTCCTGGGGCCCAGGGGCGCACATCGGCTTCCCCATCAGTCCACAAGCATAACACGGAGCTTGCACCTGTTGTCAGGGGACAGGTGTTCCCTCCGAACACAGCACATGCACACGTACGTGCACAGGGGCCACGGGCCGACGGAACAGCCTGTCAGCAGGCGCCTAAGACGGGGTCACGCGGGAATCCACATGGGCCTCACCCTGGGTCTTGACTTGCCTGCAGGGAGGGGAGCTCAGACTGATGTCCCCGCTCCCCGTGGACCGATGGGACCAAGGAACTAAGGAACCAGGACGAAGTGCCCCTCAGAGGGTGACGTGACACCTAAAACCCCAGTGACATGGTTTCCTGGTGACAGTGGCCAGAATGTGCCACCGAACTCCAACCTGTGCAAACTCAGCCAAGAGTGAAGGATCCCAAATGTGAAATTTCCACCAGGGCCTCAAGGCAGGAGTGGGGACAAGCGCTCGGAAAGGCCTGGAAGACCTCGCACAGTGACCGGCCCAGGACAGGCGCCCCCTGGGAGGCAGCATCCGCCCCCGGTACATTGGCACCTCTGATGCCCCGAGTTACAACAAAGGGAAGACAAGTGCCTCTTGGTGTCCGAGAGGCCTGACCTGTCCCTCCCAGCCCTCACGCCGGGCTGGCCAAGCCGGCCGGTAGCTGCTGCTGTGGCGCAGGGGTCAGGGTGCGTGCGGGGGTCCTCCCCACGCAGATGTGGCCTGAGGGCGTGCGAGGAGAACACGCGTGCTGAGACTCACGCAGAGGGGAGCCTGCCAAGGCTCACAGAAACCTCAGGAGGGGGTGCAGGCCACTCCCTCGCTCCTGTCCCGGAGGACAGCGGCAGGTCAGCAGGGAGCCCTGGGTCCCCCCAGCAGCCCTGGTGCCACGTCACAGGTGCCACGTCACCGTGGAGATGACCCTGTGGCAGGGTCACCTCCACGGTCCTATGGACATACTCGTTCAGAGCAGCAAAACCCGCCCAGAATAACCCAACTGCCGACGGAGAGGAGAGAGAAACGATGGTTTGCTCACAGAATGTTCTACTGTGCCAAGTGGGCTCTGCTGCTGGGGAACAGCCCGGGGGGGCACAAATCCATCCTCCCAGGGCCCCCAGCAGCCTCTCCACGCTCCTCGGCTCCACGCTGTTCCCATGTCACCAGAGCGCCTCGTTCCTGCCCACCTTGCACTGTGTGTCCCCGCCCCCTCCCTTCCCCTTTCAGGGTTGCAACTTCAACGCCAGGCCCTGGTCACCCCACCCGGGGTCCTGGAGGCCGCACGCCTCGTCCACGACTGGGGGATGCTCTGACCTGCAGCCCGGCCCGCACCCCCCAGAGCCGGGAGGCCTCCAATGCCCTCCCCCCAAGAACAAAGATCTCAAACGCTTCCAGGAGGAGAAAAACAAAACACTCTAAACTGAAACCAGCTTGGAAGAAAGCAGAGCTGGGCCGGGAGTGCCTCCCTCCCCGGGGAAGACGCAGCCTCCTCCATCCTAAGTCAGCCCCACCTTCCACCAGGTGGACAAACGGCTGCAGACACACAGACAAAGCCTAGGCCCTTCCCACCCCCGTGCCGAAGAAGCCTCTACAGACCGGACGGTCCCCCGACCCAGGGGAAGCGGGACCCAGAGCACACGGTCTGGGCCCAGAAGAGGGACGCCTGGTGCCCGGGGAGCGGCCGGGAGGACGGCGGCACAGGAACAGCTCGGGGCCCGGGGGCCTGGGACTAAATCAGCAGAGGTGCTCGGGAACGAAGCGAAGGAAGAAGAAACAGGTGAAAACCATAACCAGAGTCACATTAATAAAAACCCACGACCTAGGGATGTCCGGGTGGCTCAGCAGTTGGCCATCTGCCTTCAGCTCAGGGCATGACCCTGGGGTCCCAGGATCGAGTCCCACATCGGGGTCCCTGCAGGGAGCCTGCTTCTCTCTCCGCGTCTCTCACGAAAAAACCCACGAACCGTAAAGTTCAAGAAAAAAAAAAATCAACCAACTGGACTTCACTGAAATTAAACACGTTTGTTCTAAAAACCCTGCTCCGGACACAACAGGCGGACAAGACTGGGGGCGCCGGCTGTGGGGCTCACGTGACCAACGACCTCCATCGAGAACACACGAGTCTTACCCTCGGCCACGGGACCAAACCCCAGCAGAGGAGGAGGACGTGAACGCACACTCGGCCGAGGAAGAGACGCAAGCATGTGAGGCGCTGCTCGTGTGCCGCTGGCCCGCGGGGAAGAGGCAGACTTGGAAAGGCCCGCACTGGAAACCGCCCGGACGCCGCTCGGCAGACGGCAGGACAAGCAGGCGCCTCCATCGGGCGGGAGGGCCCGGGCGCTGCGGCGGGAGGGACGCTGGCCCCACGGGGACAGGGATGACCGTCACGGCAATACTGACAGTAGCAGAAGCCAGGCCACACGCAGGGTACAGTCCGCACCACACGGCCCCGACGCCGCACCGGCAAATACCCGCTAAATCCCCACGCAGAGAGAAGCCCGACTCCACGGCCAGGCGGTCACTGTGGTCTGGAGCCAGCATCTCCGGGGCACGACAGTGGCTGCAGGGGCTGGTGGATGGTTGCACCCCCCGTGAATATCCTAGAAGCCCCAGAGCCCCACAGCTGACCCCCGTGTGAGTCGTAGGGCACGTGAGTCACGTGTCAGTAAAGCTGAGAAGAGAGGAGCCTGCGGAGGGGGAGCTGGCACAGAAGACACACTCACGGTTGGGCCCCGAGGCCCCTGGGAGGCCCTGAGCGACGGGAGCATCGTGTGTCCTCATGTCCTCTGGGTGGGCCATGGGGCTGGCCACCAGGAAGGCCCCACACGGCCACACGCTGGACGGTCAGCTGCGCCCCTGGGGCCGGAGGGCCTGGTGACTGAGGCCCTGACCTGCCCACGTGGCAAAGCCTCCGTGAAAATGCCTGAACCACAGGGTTCAGGGCCCTTCCGGGAGGGGAACATGCCCGGGCTGCGGGTGCGGGGACCGAAGCCCCCGGGTTCAGGCATCCCACCCACAGTTCCCTCCATCTGCCTGTTCATCTGTACCCTTCTGGCACCTCTAGGATAATCTGGTCAACGTAATTAAGTGTTGCTGAGAGCCGTGAGCTGTTCTAGCAAATTCTCCAACCTGATAAGAGGTCACAGGAACCCCTGCCGTGTAGCCCAAGTCCGACAGCACTGTGGCCTCCGGACACGCTGCTCCACGTCGATGGCATCCGGGAAGGCCGCGGCCACCAGACAACGGGAGACCTGGCTGACCCAGGGAGCCCCACGCTTGCTGCCAGCGCGTGTGCTGAGAGGACACGGGCCGACGTTGCCTGGCACCTTGCGGCCACCACTGCGGATGCGCACACACCCGGCAAATTCCTACCTGGTGCCGGGCCCCCACGCTCCCCATCCTGGAGCCACACGCTCATCCTGCCGAGTGCGGCCGCAGGGAGCAGACAGGCCTGGTGCCAGGGGAGCGCATGACTCCCCCCACAGCGGAAGGGCCCTCTTGCTGCAGGAGCCTGTGCACACACAGGTCACACAGGCCCCCCCCCGAGGGTGTCGGGACCCAGGAGCCCCAGGCAGGCCCACATGTGGCCTCTGAGCAGCCCAGAGCCCGCTGGTCCAAAGCACCAACTGCCACAGGACCAAGGGCCTCCGTCACCAGCCAGGCCGCACAGCCACCTCCCCGTCAGCACCGTCCGCACCCCCAGGCGCAGGGCAGCGTGGTATCCATGGAGGCCACACGGGAGCCAGGGAGCAGCGCAGCCCTTCAGACGCTGGACAGAGGCCGCCCGCCACCCGTGCAGGCAGGGCCAGCCTGTGCGTGGGGCCTGCCCTGGCCACACACCCCGTCCGCACGGTGCCCCCGTCCGCACGGTGCCCCCGGCCCCAGGAGGCTCCTTGGCCGTGTCTGTCAACAGAGCAGCCGTGATTCACACCAGTCCGAGCGCCGCAGCTGTTCCTCCAGGGCGGCCACCACCGGCAGGGGCACGTGACCGCCGGGCCCGGGGGGAAGGCCCCACGTCCCCTGACAAGGAGCACCAGACGCCCCTACGAAGCACCACAGCTGACAGGCCCCGCGTGTGGCTTGGGACAGCATGGGAGGGCGGCGGCCTGCTCCGGGAACCACAGCAGCGACGCCGACAGCCTGGTGCCGCCACCTGCCAGTGTGACCAGGACACACGAGGGACACCGTGCTCCTGGGGCACGAGCGACATGCGTGTGTAAAACAGCGAGAGCACAGAGAGAACCACCCGCCGCAGGGGCTCTGCCTGCTATGCTCTGGGGCCTTTCCCCCACTTGTCGGGCAACAAGCATGCAGGCAGGTGCATCCTTTTCCAAAAAACCAGGTGGCCCCACATGATGGGCTGGGTCCCTCCTCGCTATCACAGCAGGAACGCTCCCCGTCACCTCAGTCCCGCTGCTACACGGCGCCTAACACCGGCCTCGTGGTTCCATCTCCTCGCCCCCCACCATGCTGCTCGGGGTGGGGGTGGGGACAGAACCAGCGGGCGTGCTCTCAGTGGCCCCCGAAGCTCCCAGCACACCCCACTTGCAGCCAGGCATGCGCCTCATGGCCCTCGCCAGCTCTGAAGCTCACAGTCCCTCAGAGATGCCAATTTGACAAGGAGACCAGACCCCAAGGGGAATCAGGACCAGGCACAGGACGGGACCCCAGACCCGCGGGGGCACATCTGATGGGACGGCCGCCTGGGGGGTTCCCGCTGCGTCAGGGGTCTTACCGAGTTCCTTGGAGCCCTGGCTCTCGCTGGCTAGCTCGCCCATCTTCACGAGGGCGTCAAAATAGCCTTTGGCTGCGTAGGTCACACCTGAGAGGAGAGAAGGGACAGTCAGTGCCCACCGGGGACGGACAGGGCGGCCCTCAGCACTGCCACGGTGGTCGAGGGCACAGCCTGCTCCGTGGCCCTTCCACCTGTGCTGAGCACAGCCCAGTCCGGCTGACGTCCTTCCAGCAGCTTTCCCCTACGAACGCGGTGCCCGCTCAGGCCCGGGGCCTCTCGAGCCCATGCCGGGTGCCGCCCCCAGCGCCCGGATCTGGCCAGGCCTCAGGGCCTGCTGAGGACAGCTCACCCGGGGGACCGCGCCAGGCAGGAGGCGGCAGGAAGCCGTGGCGCGGAGACCCCAGCCGCAGACGGAGGGCGCCCCTCACGTCTCTGAGCGGAAGCCACGCGGCGGGCTGCCCCACAGTGACCGTGGCCCCGTGGCCACGTGCCTGGAGACCGGGGGAGTGGGGACCCGCCTGCCCTGCAGGCCGCCGGGAGCACGGGGCAACGCAGCCTGTCATCTCTGCCTCCAGAGCCAGGCTGGGCCGTCTCACCAGGCCCTTCATCACAGGCTATGCAGCGGCTTCCACGGAAGCGACAGCCAGGAGCGTGCTCGGCGCCCGGACGGCTGGCCTGTGACGGCTGCCCAGAGGGGTGGGCTCCTCAACGCTGATCAAAGGGCAGCCGAGCCCCGCACGAGTGTGGCCACGGGGACGCTGAGTGGAGCAGAGGGGCCGGTGGTGGCGTGGCCGCCCGACCTCTGTGCCACTGGGTGGTCCGGGAACACGGGGCGGAGGAGCCGCTAACTTTCCACCAGTGCCCCTGGGGAGCCTCGGGGAACCGGGGGTGGGGGCAGAAAGCCCTGGAGGGAAACTTGGCCTCACGTTGAAGTGGAGCAGGCGGCGTGGTCTTGACCAGAACTGACTGGGAGTGAAGTGACACCCCAGGAGGCGGCCAGGTGAGGGCGAGCAGAGTCCCCGACGGCGGCTCCACAGAGGGAATCCCCGTCAGCCACGTGCACGGCCCTGAGCGCACGGGGAAAACCCACCCCGTCAGAAGAGATGAGCCCGGTCCTGCCCTGCCGAGGCCTGCACCCCACCCTCCTGTGCAGCCCTTCTCCAGCTTGGCACACGGGCATCTGGGGCAGCGGACCCGAGGCCAAGCCAGCCCGCAACCCCCGGCAGGCAGAGGCCCCCACTGCAGCCTGTGACCTGCGACAGGCTGCGTTTCAGCTCCAGCAGCAGACAGAACCTGTGTTGATGAGCAGACGTGCCTCTGTCCCTGCTGGGGACCGGCAGGCTCCCGGGCAGCGTCCCTGCGCTCAGGGCTGCGGCACCGGGCGGGGGGGGGGGGCGGGGGGGGCTTCAGAGAGCCTGGCCGGGCGCAGAATGCTTGTGAGCACCCCACAACCAGAGGGCGGCGCGGGACCCTGCCCGCCCACAGGGGTCAAGGCCATCGACCCCTCAGCAGGAACAGGGGAGCATGCCCCACACTCTGGCCCTGCTCTGTGCGTGACCTCAGGCTCTCTCCTTCACAAGGGTCAGTGGGCAGCGGCCTCCCCCGGAGGGGAGCCCCAGGGCCGGGCAGAAGCCCACCTGGCAGAGGGGGGTACAACAAGAGGCCCCCCCCCAAGACATGGCGAGTGGGCAGGTCTGCAGCCAGGCACCTGCACCTACAGACCAGCAAGGCCACGTCCAGGAGCAGATGGGTTCCGCTGGGCGCTCTGTCCCCCGGGCGACCATGGAGACAGAAAAGAACAGGAGCTACCCAGCTCTGGCCTCTCCCTGCTACCTCCAGGCCAAAGTCCCACCAACCAAGCCCCCTTGGGGCTGCGGACATCCCAGGGCAGCTGCTGGGGGTGCGGGCTCTGCTCACAAGGACGCCACCCCCCCAGGTCAGGGGGATTGACCCCCATCCTGGAGACACAGTCAAGGGTGGGGGAGACCAGCAGTCAGGCCCCCAGAACAGGGCGCCCCTGAGTTAGCCGGCTCCTGCCAGGGTGGAAGCGTCCATACACACCCGCGGCCAGCGCTGCGGAGAACTGGCACTGATGCCCCTTCCCTGAACGAGACCGGGCAGCGCTGCCCACGCCCCAGCGCCCAAGCCCAAAGCCCAATCCTACAGCCTCAAGATGCTTCTGCAGCAGACATCCACACCCGCCGCCTTCAGGTGCTGTGGACGAGCACCGAGCCCAGACCCCAGGCCGAGGCCAAGGACGTGGCCGCCCCCAGCCGTGGGCGCAGACGGCAGGCTCGGCAGGCTCGCACGACGCCGAGGTATCCACACCCTCCCTCTGCCAAGGGTTTTCTTCTGGAGCAAAGCACCTCCTCCCACTGCTGAGCCATCCACCCGCTGACAGGCCACTGCTCCCACGGCCTTACCTGCCAGGGCCTTCTCATAGTTCTTCCCCATGGCAATGAAGTTCCGGAGGCTGGGGTTGAACTGCTCCATGATGGTCTGCGGAAAGCAAGAGAAAGGGCGTGAGTGACCAGGTGGCCCGGTGACCCCGGGAGTGTCCCACGGGAGAAAACCCACAGGGTGGAGACTGCGAGGCCCCAGCCCCACCCTCGGCAGACCCCCCAGCCTCAGTTTTCACCTTGTGCAACGGAGCAAGAGCGGCCTGCTGCCCGGGGCTCTGCAGATCGCACGCCGAGCACAGAGCGCCTGGCACAGGATCGCGCCCAGAAGTGTTGCTGCTGAGGTGCCATTACCCCGTCTGGAGGGGCTGAGTCGGGGAGGGGAGCCCCTCCAGCCGCACACAGGGCTCAGCGCCCCCTCCCACCCAAGTCCTGGCTCAACACGCCAATTACGAACACGGCTCTGATCAGAGGGTGCACGGCGGACACACAGACACCCCGCTATGAACCATCCCGCAGCCCCGGGTCCTCTGCCCCACGGACCGCGGTTCTTCATCGGATGAAATCAGAAGCTCGCGGCCAAGGCCAAGTAAATGTTTTAATGACAAGGCGGGAAAACAGGCCCACACAACCTCCCGACGCGAGTTCCACAGGGTAACAGGGCCGACAGCCGACAGCCGAGAGCTGGCCCGGCCACGCGCGCCCCCCACCGCACTTTCAAAGAAAACCTGCCGTCCCTGACGTCCGTCTGGGAACAGAGGCTGGGGGACCGTGTCCCCCCAGAGCTCCTCTGTCCCCCAGTCACACCCTCCATCCCCTCTCCTTGCGCTTGGCCAGTGGGAGGGGCTCCAGCTGCCCTTGCCTGCCCTGGGGTGCAGCCGGGGGCATCCGCACAGAGGGACGGAGACCTCAGCCACAGGGAGCTGCGCCCTCCTAAGCCCTGGGGCTGGCCCGAGGTCCCACGCCACGTGGGAGCAAGGAGAGGTGACACGGGCAGCCGTACCCACGGGGGGGCGAGGGAAGGGCACCTGCTCCGCGCAGCACAGGGGCCCATGGCGGCGAGCCTGCCTATGCCCCATCCCTGTGGGGCTGGCACCCCGAGAGCAAAGCATGTCCACACCACACGCCGGGCAGGGGGCAAGACTGCGGGACCTGGCGCGGGAGCAGGGGAGGGGGGCATGCTGCCTACAGGGGAGGGCTGGGGGGAGGGGGCGGGGGCAGGGCAGGGCCGGGGCAGGCAGCAGCAGGCAAAGCCCGGGCCCAGCCACTGGGTGGAGCAGGACAGGGGCCGGCCAGGGGCTGAAAGGCCGGGGAGGAGGCAGGAAGCAGTGGGGAAGGCCCTGCTCCTGGGGCTGGAAGGGAAGTGGAGGGAGGGTCTAAGCAGAGCTGTTGTCCAGCCACCTCCGGAGGGGAACCGCAGGTGCTCCGGGGACTGCCCCCAGGGCCCAGCAGACACAGGGGCCCTGCTGGACCTGCCCTGGGATCTGAGAAGCAGGGCCCTCGGCCCTTGGGTCCCCTCCACAGGCACCGGGACGTGGGTGAGGTGGGGCTGAGGGGCAGGGGGGAGGCAGGCAGGATGCAGGCCGCTGCTCTGGGGCCCCAGGAATGTGGACCAAATCCAGGGAGCACCTGGGAACCAGGACAGGGGCGTCATCGCCAGGCAGCAGGGTCAGGCATCGGGAGGATTGGGAGCAGGAAGCCAGGTTTGGGGGTCACCAGCCAGGCGTGAACACAGGGCGTGTGGGAGCTCCAGGCGCACGGCGCAGGCTGCCTGTAGACCTCAGGGCCGAGGAGTGCAACAGGCTTCGTGTGTCTGGTTTTTGTTTTTGTTTTTTCGTTTTTTGTTTTTTTTTAAGATTTTTATTTATTCACGAGAAAGACACACACACGGAGACAGGGAGGAGCCAAGCAAGCAGGGGAGGGGCAGGGGGAGGCAGAAGCAGGCTCCCCACTGAGCAGGGCTCCATCCAGGACCCCGGATCACGACCTGCGCCCGCGGAGCCACCCGGGTGCCCCCATGTGCGTCTGTTCGGTGAAGGACAGAAGGTCCATAACCCAGGCAGGGTAGGTTGGGTCCCTGAGCCCGCTGGCCGGGGGGGCCTGAGGTGCGTGTGTGTGTGTGTGTGTGTGTGTGCTGGTGTGTGCACGTGTGCCCAGAGCTTCAGCACAGCACGAGTTCCTCACTGTGGCAATGGGCACAGGTGTGAGACGCTGCCCTAGCGGATGCTGATGCCAAACCCACCCGCATTCCCAGGACCGCGGCCACCCTGGCTCCGGGACAGCACCCCCAGCCTCCTGGGCAGAGGAGGACACGCTGCCCAAGCTCACTCTGAGCCCATCAACATCCTGACTGACAGCAGGAAACGGACCAGGAGGCGCCCAGGCCAAGCGAGGGGATCACCGTGGCAGCCCGCCCACACCCTCCCAGTGACACACGGGGACAGCCGCCAGGTTTCGCTCCCTCTGTGCGGCAGCTGAGCTCACGCGGAAGGAATGCGGGAGTGAGTGGGCAGGGCAGCCTGGGTGCTGGGGTGCCAGTCAGGCCACCTGGGCAGGGCAGGGCCTCCAATCTGCTGAGAAGGCTGGTGGCCAGGACAGTAGGCTGGTCACACAGGGGCCACTGTCTCACCTGGAGGCGGTGACAGAGGCACCTGCTTGCAGCCCTGTGCGGATCCCGCTCCCTGGCTTGGAAGGCAGGCCTCCTACGGAAGTCTGGATGGACACACAGCCAACCGTCACCCACCTGCCTCCCAGTCACTGGTTCTCCTGGCACCGGGGCAGCCAGAGACCAGCCAGGTCTGCCTCAGAGGGGTTCCTCCTCCGGCGCGGCCCGGGGGGGAGCACCCACTACACCTGCCCCAGCACCGCTCCCCTAACCAGGCCCGAGGAGGGGCCCCGGAGCCGACAGAGGCAGGAGCATCATGGGTGCCCACAGCTCATCACACAGAGGAGGCCTCGGTGGGCTGTCACTGGCCACCCAGACCTTTCTCAGAAGCCAAGGGATGGCACTATCTTTTCCTGGGCTCTGCCGGGAGGGTGCGGAGACCAGAGCACCCAAACCCTGCAGCAGGGCCTGATTGCCTGGAGAGGGAAACTTGCTTCTCCTCAGGACTGTTGTGCCCAGGGCGCTGCCAACAGGAGCAAGGCCGGGGGCAGCCTGCCTCCCGTGTTTCGGCCACGTGCTGCGGCCTCACACTTGTCCTCAGGGCGAGGGCACGGTCCCACAACATGAGCAGCGACCAGAGTCATCTTCCAGCTCTGACCCCTGTGCCCTGAAAATGAGATCCCCAAATCGGCTCAAAGTCTGCGGTGCAACACGGAGATGGTGCACGTATTCCCCTGGCAGCTTTCTGGGCCGAGGACCACGCCGCTGGCCTCGAACAACACAGGAGGGCACGTGCGCGCTCACGCCGGCATTTTATCAGTAGATATCCGACAGCCCTACAGGTGTATTTTCTCTAACAATTCTTTTCTTAAGATTTTATTTATTTTAAGGGAAGAGAGACAGAGAGAGACAAAGAAGAGATAGAGGGAACACACGTGTGCATATGCCAGCGGGGGCGGGGGGGGGGCGGGCAGAGGACAGACTCTCAGGCAGGCACCTGCGGAGTGTGGACCCTGACAAGGGGCTCAGTCCCAACACCCTGAGCCGAAACCAGGAATCAGATGCTTGATCATCTGAGCCACCCCGTCCCGTCTGCCCCCTACCCCAACCCCCCCCCCCAATGGTTTTAAGTAACGTTTTCTCCCCTGGCTAACTGCATCATAACAACGCAGCACGTAGCACACACGACGTACAAAACATGCATTAGTCAACTATTCTCGTCATTGGGAGGTCGGCTTCCAGCCAACACTAATCCACGCTACACGCAGATGTTCGGCTGGGAGGGAGGTCGCGCCCCTAACTTCCACATTGTTCCCGGCTCCACTGTATTTAGCACCAAGCACTTACTCGCTGGTTCCTTCCCCTACTAAGGACCGTCCTGGGTAGCAGGTGGGTGGCTGGGATCGGCGAAGGGCACCCGGACGCCCCACCGAGAATGTACGCTGCGAGAGGGCTGGGATGAGGAGGGGTCCCTGCAGGACACACGCGCGAGCTCAGGCTTGCTGTGCTGTCACCCCCCTGCCAGGACGTCCTGAGCTGGATGCCCCTGCCACCCGGGAGGCTACCTGAGTCTCCACGCCGCAGATGCCCGGCTGCCCTGCCCACGTAGGGACCCACATGCCCTTCTACAAGACCAAAGGGGAGGGGACGAGGGCAGCTGTACGGGCGGCTGTCGCCAGGACCCCAACAAGGGGCCGCTCCCCGCCCGCCTGCACGCTGACGCGCATCCCCATGGACTTTGTGGTCACAGGTCCGCCTGGCCGGTGAGGGGAAAGGGCAGCGAGGCAGCCCGGTCTCCGACGCGGGGGGACGAGGAGGGCGGCCAACGCATCCTGGAAAGGAGCTCTGCCAAGGGACTTTGCTCGGGCCTGCCCTGTGCCCGTGCCGGCCGGCTGCTCGGAGCGCAGGAACTCCGTCTCTTCCTCAGCGCGGGCTCCCGCCGAAGGCCCCCCTCCAGCACCTTCCTGGCAGGCTGGTCGCAAAGTGCAAAGTTTCTCTGCTGACAGAGGGGAAGTGACATGCCTTCTGCTTCCCCTCCAGCCTCTCACACGCGGCAGAGGAAGGACGGGTTGGGCGTGTTTGCCTGTGTCCTGCGCACACTCGTGGGAACGCACTCGACACCTGGAAGCGCACGAGCAGAGGACAGGACGGTGCTGGGACCCCACCTGGCCTTTGGCCCCCATCACCCTGCACCCTGGCTTGACCGATCCGAGTGCGCCGCCGCCCCATCTTACGGACGGGCAGGGAGAGGCGTGGGGAGGCCAAGAGCCTGCCCGGTAGTTGCCGCGGAGACAGTTCCAGCCTCAACCGCAGGCTGGCCGCACAGCTGAGCTCAGCGCTCGCCGCACACGGGCCTCCCCGCTATCCCGACGGCCGCCGAGGCTGGACCAGGCGCCATCTGGGCCACCCCGCCTGCCCTGGGTGCCCTCAGGGGCCACGGCCAACACCCAGAACGAGGCGAGGGCCAAGTTGGTATGTGCCCACTCCGGGACCAC